TATAAATATATTTATAACTTTTTAATATTTATAAATATATTTATAACTTCAACGTTGTTATTCCTCAGCAACAGTCACGTTAATCAGCTAGATAAGCTGATTAATCCACCCCTACCCCTTACCATACCGTGCACAATGACTGGCAAATAATTTTGTTCGAGCAGTAGGTGTTTTGGTCCTCATCTGCATTCCTGATGAGCTTCGCCACTGAGGAATATTTTCTGCAGTTAAAGAGGTGGCAGAGTATCGGGAATTGTCAGAGAACTTCAGAAAGGATCCCTGGTGAAATACTGAACTTTTTTAAAGGCTTAGTACGAGTTTTTCAGAACTTGACTCTTAGTCCTGTCTCCTTCAGTACACCTGGATACGTCGCTGGCAGTAGCGTAAGACTTGCAGCAGTTTACCAGCTGTACAGTTTTTGGATCAGAACAAGAACTTGTTCAATCAGGTGGTTGTATTTATTTGATAGCTCAGGAACAATGCCAGGTACTTAACGGTGTATTTCCTGATCTGTGTCTGAGCACATGAGCTCAGCCAGACAATGAGAGGTTGGGTTACAGCTGCCGGTGCTCAGTGGAACGGCGTGGTTGCACAGGTGGCAGCTCTGAAAGAATTTCTCCAGTGCTGAGAATAATTGACAAAGAAAGAGCAATCCTGCTCGATTTCTCAAAGCCTCAGGAAAGTTAGTGAAACAGGAGCACAGAAGAAACTTAAAATGATAAACAGGACAGATTCAACTGGGAGAACGCTGGTAATTGTGACTGCTCATAAAGCAGCTTGAATTGTCTTCTCCTAGTGGAGCCATGCATAAACTTTCATTTGAATTTTTACTGGTATTTTCCTCTAAACTTAAAACTCTGCACTAACATTACACTTGCAGGCTTAATTCAAGAGCACATAAAAACCTTGCAAGCAAACTGAGAAAGGGCACAACAATACGAGTGCTCGTACGCTGCCCTCTTCTATTGTCGCTGTTAAATTTACTGTGACCGCGCACAGCGATGAAAATAGTGCTTCATGTTGGTACCGTGCCTTGGGACCTCTGGTTGAGACTGACATCGCGGCTGCGTTCCGGACTTGTCAGTACGTGCGGTACCTAGTCCTCCTGTCTCCTAGGTAAGGACAAGAAGGGAAGCTGCAACCTGTCTCGTGTTGACAGTACCACCTGCCTTTTCCCTGTTGAGGAGAAAGCTGTGGAGTACTACTTCGCTTCTGATGCTAGGTAATGTTTCTCAGTATTTTTTAGTGTATATAAAAATATGCCATTTAAAGCTGAGGCCTTGAACAAGAGATGGGGAGGCTGTGGTTTCTTTATGAATAACAGTAAATTACGTATATGCGGCTATTACTTTACAGACATGAACTAGTTGCCGTATGCGACCCTGGAAGAGGCAGAGGTGGGTCAGATGAGAGTTTCTGTTAAAGGAACACTGGCTTTGGAATAGTGGTGTTGCCCTTCTTCGAGCACATCTGTTGATAAGATTCCAGAGGTGAGCGATAGGACACCTGAGAGAGTACTGACCTAAATCAACGGGGCAGATGCTAATTATCAGGAGAATTGTGTGGATCTCTGCACACTTGCAATTCCTTTGTCATCAAAGGTAGCTTATTTTAATCCCTGTGGAGGGAGGAAAGACTAACTTGACAGCAGCCTTACCCGAACTTCTGGTTTTCCCTATATTAGGGAAACGAATACTTGTTCCAGAAACGTAAAAATACCGCTGTAGTTGACTTCTGCAGCTCTTCTCATCAGAGCCTTTTGGAGAGTCTTAGGACACCCTGATGCGTTCTGATTTTAGAGAGCTTTTCAGTGACTTGCCCGAGGTCAGAACAAAAGCTACTAAAATAGGGAGCCGAGGTATTTCAGTACAGCTTGCCTTGTTCAGCTGAGAGAGAGTACAGACTAAAACCTGGTGAAAGATTTTAAACCCCACTGGTAATTCCAATATTGACATTCCTCAAGTAAACTGCAGGCAGGGAAGGTATCCAGTCGTACCTAATTCTTGGAGTGCTTCGAGGCAGATCTCGTAGTACTTTAACAGGTGGCCAACCTGCCCCCAGTTTTACAGATGGGAAAATGAGAAGCAGGGAGGGATGATGGCTGATCGCTGGAAAAACCAAGGAAGGAATCTGCACCTATAGCTGAGCCCTTGCGTGCTAGAGCAAATTACTGTCTTCCTGACTTCCACTCTAGCTCCTAATGGTTAGATCACATTGCTGCACACGCTGCTTTGTCTGAGGAATTCATAGTTTCTTCTTAAAGCAGGCACTGAAATTAATAATGAGGTAGGTGGAAAAAATCCAGTTATATTGGCAGTGTGGAAATCTACTTTATAGTACTCCTCTTATTTTAAAAGAAATTCCATTGAAATGAGTAACTTTCTTGAACCGAAAGCTGTATGTTGGATTATAAATAGGGCTGTAGCCCTCATCTTTCTGTGAAGAATAATGTCTTATGGCAAATGGTGTATACTTTTATAGTGCTGTCATTGAGCATACCAACAGAGTGATTTTCCTTGAAGATGATGATGTAGCAGCTGTGGTCGATGGCCGTCTTTCCATCCACCGGATTAAACGCACAGCAGGCGATCACCCCGGCCGCGCCGTCCAAACCCTGCAGATGGAACTTCAGCAAATTATGAAGGGTAAAATCTTTTGTATGCCACCTGTGTAGATGCACAGGTCCTCCCTGGAGTCACAGAAGAAGCCAGGTTGAAAAAGACCTCTGGAGGTCCAATCCCTCTGTTAAAAGCAGGGCCAAGAGGGGGCTGAGGATTTTGCCTCCTGCCTGGAGGCATCCATTATTCCCAAGATTGATCCCTAGCAGGCGTGCCATTCTGGATCTGACCCTTCATTGACACATGCTAGTAACTTCAGTCTAGCTCTCGGGATAGGCTGATGCTCTGGTATAAGAAAGAAGCATCACCTTAATAATCTCTGACGGGTAACTGGCCCGTTAGTGACTCTGATCCAAGCTTTTCCCTGTATACACAGGAAGAACGTGAATTACCAGGACATAACTTAAAGCGTTCTCATTTGGTTTGTTTCTTTCTTTCTTTTGTAGGTAACTTCAGCTCATTTATGCAGAAGGAAATTTTTGAACAGCCGGAATCTGTTGTTAATACGATGAGAGGAAGGGTCAACTTTGATGACTACACTGGTAATTGAGATAAAGCCTCCTTTATTTTTGACAGCTCAGTATCTAGTAGTTACTCACCATAGTTACAGGAGAAGGAAGTAGGTGATGACACAGGAGATTAAAACACACTGGTGTTAAGACGATGTGCGTGTCTTGCAGGAAGCGCTTCCAGAATTACATGTGCTGGAGGCAAGATTACTTTTTGTGGTGGCTTTTTTGCAAAGTGGTTGATGGAGATTATAACGTGCTGTGTGTTAGCACCAGTAGTCTCGAGAATTTCTGCTATCTGGCCAGCCTAATTTTTCTCTCTGAATCTTGCTTACAGTAAATCTTGGTGGGTTGAAGGATCACATTAAGGAGATTCAGAGGTGTCGTCGTTTAATCCTTATTGCTTGTGGGACAAGTTACCATGCTGGAGTTGCGGTAAGTAAGTGGTCACTCTTGATCTGTTTGCAAACTAGCTAGAATTGAACGGCGGGCGCAGTATTGCGTGTGTCAGGCAGGTTAAGGATTGATTTAAGGGTAAGACAGAGCAAGTGCACGCTGATGAATGAAGACCCTTTTGAAAGCTGCATACACCAGACTCTCAATTCACCCGCAACAGCTGTAGGAAATAAAAAGCTGAAGAACTTGAATACTTACAAAAATGTTGCCTGTGACTTTTACTGCTATGGAAAGCTTTAAAAACCAAAACCTGCTCTGTTGTAAAAGACAGTTGGCAGGGGAAGAGAATGCAAGAGCAGAATGCAAATGCAGCAAGGTAGGGGCTGCCACGAGCCAGATAGGATTTCCTCCTTTGCTGTTTACGCAGACAGCGCCGGCGCCTGCTCAGAGACATCTCTGTGCTCGCCCGGCACAGCGAAGAGGTTTCGCTTTGTACCTTACAGAACTACTGGCTGTGCGTACAGCCAACCTGTGATCTTTAGTGTTTCGTCAGCGTCTGACCTAATCGTTGGTTAAAAGGCGATGGCATTTTTAGATTGTAGCTTGGCAGCCCATAATACTGCAATTAAAAGTGCTGCGCAGCTCCACAGAGGAATCCTTTAGCTGCTCTCAGAAACGCTGCAAAACGCAGCTATGTTCGCTAATTTACAAGGACCAGGAAAGAAAATTTTTGTTCATCTTGGCTAGCTCTGTAAGATAATGTTAACAGTAATCCATTGACTAGCCAAAACAAGTTTCTGGCTTGGCCTGGATCCAGGTGGTGGTTTTGGAGTTCTTCAGTAACAGAAGTTACAGTCTGATAGAAGGACACCCTGTATTATATAATATAGATGTAGTATTGTATAATAAGTGAGACTCATTAAAGAACAATTTACATGCGAGGGAGGAGTTGGCCTCGCAGGCTTTTTGTGGCGCCAAAAGCAGGGTCGCTTTTCAGAGGGGTAGTTGTGTGACTTGAGTGTGGCTATACTGAGTAATTAAAATAGAATCCAGCCCTAACTTTCACGCTGTATTTTGATAGTAATATTTTCCAGTGTGTGGCAACTAGCAGGCTTTTTTGTACTCCAAACACTTGGTTTTTCAAACATGATATAATATGCAACTTTCTGACATCTCCTTTTACCAGACCCGTCAGGTTCTGGAAGAACTGACTGAATTACCTGTTATGGTTGAACTAGCCAGTGACTTCTTGGACAGAAACACCCCTGTCTTCAGAGACGATGTTTGCTTTTTCATCAGCCAGTCAGGTACGCTCTCGCTTTACCACCCACTCGCTCCCCTCTTTCCTGTAAATGTTAGCTTGAGAGGGAAAAGGCAGCAGGGCCAAATTCTTGCTCCTGCCTGTAGGATGCATGTGGTACGCGTGAGAGAAGAAACTGGCACACGCATACTAGAGATGGGGAAAAACCAGAGTGGTTCTCCTGTCCATCTGCGTGCTGGTGCATGATTTTGTTTAGCTGAGTCTTACATATGGCAACAGTAGTTTTGTTTCCTTTCTCTGTGAGGAAATATTCCATCAATCAACAGACTAAAAAAATGCTACTGAGCTCTGGGTAAAGGCAACTCGATAGTTTCTTCTGAATAGTTTTAGTTCTCTAGTTAAAGCACTGCCAAATACTAAGCTATATGGTGGATCAGATTCATAAAAGAAATGAAACTATTACGCAAGTATCAAAAAATACAGCATCCTTGGAATGGAATATGAGATAAAAGACACAAGCGTAGAAAAAAGAAAGTGTGATGTATATCGCATTCAAAATATTTTCAAGGACAACTGCAATACAAAACTACAATTTTTTTTTTTTCCTCTTAGGTGCATTTATTCTTGTAGATTTTCATAACTGATACTCAGCTTTGACACTAAAACTAGTAGTTACTTTTTCTCCATAGGTTAAAATACTCTTTTGGTAGCAATTTTTTCTTTTCCTTGCCAAGTAATTCAGACTACCCTCCTTTGTAGGGGCTCATGTAAGCGTTCAGGCTTTCCCTGGCTTTTTGGAATACAGGTGCAGCTGTTGGTTCTTCCCCTTAGAAGCGGTACCGTCCCAGTCTGTCAGGGAATACGACTGAGGGCACGCCAGGGGATGCATCTTTCCCCTGACGTGTTGGATGTGGCTAGCAAACAAAGATTTTCCTGGAACCTGAGCTTGGTCTTCAGGCGATACAAAACCAAAGTAACTGTTGGGCTTAAATAACCTCAGTTCCCCCCACCTATAAATCTGTTTTCCTAGCCTTAGATTCCCACCCTACATGATTTGCTTTCAGTAGCGCAGTACGCAGAGCAGTTTTTACACATTGGGGTACTGAAGAAGTGCACCGAACTAACCTTGGGGTGTTTTGTTGTCACCGTACACGTGCAGGAGCACTCAAAAGGTGTGTGCTTTTAGGACAGAAGCAAACTGGTAACACTAGATGGAATACACAGCAGCTTCTGTTTCTAGTCCCATCTCTGGAGCTCAGCTCGCAAGCAGCACTGCAGTGCAAGGTTTCCTTCCCCCCCATAATGTTCACTTAAACCAACTTTTTCTACTTCTTTATATCTAGAGTTTTGGAATCAACATGTTAAGTGAAATCCCCGATCTAAGCCAGCTTGTGTTTGCATCGTGCAGACGGTTTTGAGCGGGGATTTTAGACATAACCTCTTTGATAACAGATCTTGCAAGCACTCGTGGCGTTGGTGAGCGCCATCAGCAAACAGTTCCCTGGGTTCCGTGGGCAGTGAGGGGGTGGCAGGGCTCAAGGCTGGCTGTACCGTAATGCCGTTGCATCCACTGGCCACTTCGGCTATCCCCAAGACATCTTCCCCCACCCTGCCCCAGGTGAATTTTTATTAACCAGGAAATGAAAGAAAGAAGGAAAGTTGGTTTTGTTAAAGAAGATACACTCAAACTGCCTTTTTTTTTTTTAACCATAGCAAAACACTGACTTTTCCTTATACCAAATACTTTGTTAGGTTTTGTGTTTTCTAGATTTCACTGTCTTCTTTTTAGGGTTAAACCACAGTGTGCCGGGGCTGAAATAAGTACTAACTGCTTTGACTTGCAGGCAAATACAAACCTCTAAGATTCTGTTTGGGAAATCGCTGCACTTTTGTATCTGCAGTGGCGGCAGCAAGCGATCCTGAACAGCCGCATTGCCAATACCTGTCTTTGCAGGTGAGACAGCAGATACCTTGATGGGTCTTCGGTACTGCAAGGAGAGAGGAGCCTTGACTGTAGGAATAACTAACACAGTTGGCAGCTCTATATCCCGAGAGACAGATTGTGGGGTCCATATCAATGCAGGACCAGAGATCGGGGTGGCCAGTACCAAGGTAAGGAATAAGTTTATAGACCTCACCTTATTGTTACTGAAACTCTCCCTGACAGTGTTGGCTAAAGATGGGTCAGCTAAACGCTCTCTGTTCCCTTTTTACTCGTTGCTGTTGATGATTGTGTAGTTAATGACCACGTGCCCAGCAACACTCTTCATTTTCTTTTTCTTGTATCTTGCAGAGGGCTTTTTTTTTTTTTTTTTTTTTTTGGTAAATGAAATATTCTAAGGAAGCAATATTAAACATTGAAAACAAAGGGGTCTCAGAGGGGAGAATTCCCTAAGAGGCAAGAATTCTCTCCTCTTTGCTGTCATTTGTCTTGAGGTGCAGGTTTAAACTAAGGTCTAAAGATGAAAAAGGAAATTAAAGGCCAATATTATAGAACGTTTGACAGCGGGTAACTGCCCTTAATGGGGCTTTACTAAAGAAAGTGTGATATTAAAACTATGCTTTTAGCAAATGGGGGAATGGTCTTTTACAGAAAGGCCATATTTATGTCCACCTAACAGAATTACTCTGTGGTTGATGCATCTGCTAAGGCGTGATACCGTGTAAAATAACTAACTTTACTGCATTTCATTTTGATGAACTGCTTCTGCATGGTAAAATCTGCTTTGATTTAGTTATATTTAGAGGCGAGATGATGTCAATCTGTTACATAAATTCAGCCAAAAACCACATTTGAGTTTAATAGTTCATTGGGGAATTTGATCATGGAAAATTCATGAGTCTCTTACAAGAAACTCTTGAACGAGTTGTTTGTCCCTGGGTTGTTTTCACAGAGCCAACATTACAGTTTGGAGATAACTGAAAATGGCATTTTCTGTCTGGTGATGTGGGGAGTTACCAACGTTGTGTGTATATGAAATATGAACTTGAAAAGATTCTGCCCTAAGGTTGTCCAGAACTTAATTTTGAGAATATATTATAAACCCAACCAAGCATGACTGTTTGGTGCTATTTACTTCTGTAACCTTCAGCTGCACCAAAACAGAGGAGATCACTTTCCACATCAAACTCTGCTAGTCAGCGTAACTGAAGCTTTTCTAGATTCCTTCAGAGCTATTTAAATCTTCTCCAATATAGCAACAGGAACATTTGTTTGATCATTGTTTAGGAAGGGACAGAAATACTACAAACCTTAATCTTATTTCTAAGCAACTTCAATCCCAGGCTGGCACCACAGACCATTTCATAACATTTGTCTTATAAGGACTTCAGAAGCTAGACTTCGCAATAGCTGTTTGATACTGTCCCTGAAATGTTTTTGCAAATAGAATTGCCTTGAGCGCTGATTTCACTTGCCTGTGCAGATGATTTTTTTCCCCCAAAGCCAGTGACACCAGTCGCTATGGTCTTTTAGACAAATCTGGAGCCTTACCATGGTGAAGAGTTTAGAATCTGTTCTTAAAGAAGCGAGGTGGGAAATCACTTGCCTTTTCAGCTGCCTTTGTGTTCCCTGAATGCGGTCCATAAAAATTTCCGCTGGCTGTCCTCTGTTGCGATGGCCAGATGGTAGCGGTGGGCTTCCATTGTCCATCTCCAGTCAATGGGTCTGCCCGTCTTCAGTGTTTTCACCATTTCCTTGCAGCAAAGAAGGACACAGGTATGGTCACAAAATAGGATTTAATAGAATCCTAGAAATACTCCATTTTGTTCGTTGTATCTTAATCTCTTGGGGTATAAGGAGATCATGCCATTGCACGCCTCCATTTGAGATTTGCCCTGTGAATTTCATGTTCATCTTTGCTACTTAATTGGAATGAAAGCTGCCATTTGGTACCACGTTAAGAATAAAGTCAACAGCTAGTCTAAGGATTTTGCATAGTAGGTGACAACCATTTGGTTACTGTCTTACTGATGTGCGTTCTCTCTCTCTGTCCCCCCTCCCATTAGGCCTACACCAGCCAGTTTGTCTCTTTGGTGATGTTTGCTCTGATGATGTGCGATGACAGAATTTCTATGCAGGAAAGGCGCAAGGAAATCATGCGTGGTCTGAAGGGACTGCCAGGTGGGAAACTGCTGCATTTATTGGGTCTTGCCAAGTGAAACTCAGTAGCACAGATGAACTTCAGCAGCGCCTGAACTTTTGCTTTCGAAAGACCGAGGGGATCAGATATGTGCAACATGGCTGTTGGCAGTAACTTCTGCAACCATGTTCTCTCTAATGTCTTCAGGCCACTAAATTGGACTATTAAAACACCGAGTCCAATTTTTATGCAAGTCGCTGCTATCTGTGTATATGAAGTATAAACAGTATGTATAGTTTGAGAGGCACAGGCATATAAGCACACACAACTTAAATTCTTCTCTTTCCTTCTAGACTTAATTAAAGAAGTGCTGAGCATGGATGATGAGATCCAGAAGCTAGCCACAGAGCTATACCATCAGAAGTCTGTTCTCATCATGGGACGTGGCTACCATTATGCTACATGTCTTGAGGGAGCTTTGGTAAGAAATTTCTTCATTTAAAGCTGGTTCAAACACATGTAGCTGTGGACTTCAGATTTCAGCACAGAAAATGACACATAGCTACAAGTTGTTTTAAAAGCAGCTAACAGCTATGGCGTGTTGGCTGACATACTGGGTCAGCTAGCTAAAACTCACCGTAACGGTGCTGAGACTGCCGCTTAAAGATACCCAAGTCACATAAACGGCCACAGCCTACAGTGGGTTGAAAGGGCGTATTTTCAGCATTCAGCCTGGGCACCCTAATAAAAGCAGTTCTTTGAACTGTTGGGGTGGCGTTTCCAGGAATGCTCAGCATCCAAAACTGAGCATGTACTTTCTAAAACCTGCATATTGCAGGTTTGAGGAGATTCCTGTTGTTCTAAGTGCTGTCACCCACTGACACGCAAACGCGTCCTCTTTGCGTTTGCCTGCCCAGCTCACGGCTCTGACGACAGGTATGGTGGCTGATGGCACATCGTGCGGCCTGCAGGGGGTTTGGTGGTGGAACTCTAAGTGTTGATGGCCTGCAAGCAGCTCAGCCCAGATGCACTGTTTTGATCTAAGTTTTGAGGCTGGCTTGTCTACATATAGGATCTGAGGAGAGCCAGAACACATTTTTACAAAGTTACAAAGAAAATGGAAGAAGCCACAGAGATGGTTTAAAAAAAAAAAAAAAATTTAGACGTTTGCCCAAAGCTTTATGAATTACGTTTTTCCCCATCTAGAAAATTAAAGAAATTACCTACATGCACTCCGAAGGGATATTGGCAGGTGAGCTGAAGCACGGCCCTCTCGCGCTGGTGGACAAACTCATGCCCGTCATCATGATCATCATGAGAGACCATACCTATGCCAAGTGCCAGAACGCTCTCCAGCAGGTCATTGCACGGCAAGTAAGTACCTGGAAAAGTTCACAGCACATCAGAAACTTTGCTTTTAATATAAAAGCAGCTTACAGGGCACCCAAACTATGTGCTTTAGTGTCACTGCTTAAAATGTGAGTTCAGTAGGTATTCTAGGCATTTCAAGTGCAATTTTTGCAGCAGATTGCAGAAGCCCCGTGTGGTTTGTTTACCCCTTAAAATACACTCAGGGATGTCCATGGGATACTAAGCTGTTTTGTTCTAAGTAAAGTAAAAAGTTCTTGCCCCTGGCGCTCTCAACAGAAGTGGAAAAAAAAACCTTCCAGACCTGTTTTTCTTCAGCATTTCCCTTTCTTGCAGGGGAGACCTGTCGTGATTTGTGATAAGGAAGACATCGAGACAATTAAGAACAATAAAAGAACAATCAAAGTTCCCCATTCGGTGGACTGTCTGCAGGGGATCCTGAGCGTTATCCCCCTTCAGCTTCTGGCTTTCCATCTTGCAGTTCTCAGAGGATACGACGTAAGTACAGTATTCCTGCCCTTCTGCGCTCGTGTGTACTATCTGCGGATCTGGAAAAAGATGCGTTGGGTGATGCTGGAAGTCTGTGGGGGTTGTCTGTACAATTGCTTGAGCTACTGGAACCACCAGGTTAAATGGTAGGCCTGGCAATTGCAGGAGCTTCTCGTGAACAAAAGTTGAAGGCCGTCTAGTACGCTTGGCCGAGTCTTGTGCAGTTTGAGTTGGGACGTGTGTCCGTTTCCTGGTACGAGCGCACAGTTTCTGGAGGGCTGGTAGGAAGCTAAAAGGAAGGTAACAATCCACGGGAGGATGCTTGACAAGCAGAGTCTGTCTGTGTTCGGTATTTGGTCTTAATACAGACACTGGCCTCTACTTCTATCATTTGAGCACTGTAACGACAGAGACTAAAGGGGCTAACTCCTTAGCTCTTGCCAGAGAAGTCGTCACAATTCAGGTTTATGGACTTTGTCTGCACCGATTGTCCTAAATTAACACGAGAATATGTTCAATCGTTTTCAATTTAAACGCAGAACAAACGTTCCACACATTACAAAGTTATACACAAAGAAAGTGTGTAAATACTCACAAGCATGTTCTTTCTCCTCCCTCTCTGCAGGTTGATTTTCCAAGAAATCTGGCCAAGTCCGTAACTGTAGAGTGAAAGATCATCTGAATCATAGGGGCAAAGGGGAATTAAATGAAAGACTTTTTTTGGTACCAAAATACCTTGATTTTAAAGTCCCCTAGGTAAATCTTATTTTGGTAAACATTTTTTGTGTATAAGATCACTGTAATTCCATTACACTAGTGATTGTCAAATTGATTCCACATGCTATGTCAATAGCTTTGGGTTTTTTCGAACAATAGACTTCCATGAAAGATGTTAAAAGGTTTTCTTTAAAGATTACTGAGTCTTCTAGGTAAGGGGCCCTCCACTTTACTTTAAGATAATGTCATTGTTTCTTAGCCAGTGTGGCTCATTCCAATCGTTGATGAGAAACCATTGAATGAATTACCTGTCATGCTCTCAGGCAGTGAAGCAGGATCCCAGAACATACAACTGGAACAAGAGCTGTTACTGGTCATGCTTGTGCAGGTATTTTAACAGTGAACGACACCGTAAACAAGCATTTGGGGTCAGTTTCTGCCTCACGTACAAAAGGGAATTCAACTGACCTGTCACAACCTCCTAAATTTTAGGCATGTGCTAAATGTGCTGAGAAAATAACGTTGCTTCAGAAGGATTTTATCTATGCCAAATACCTAGCAAGTGACAATCTTGTAGCCTCGGTGGGCCACAGCGCGCTGTGTAACACCAGCATATGCCTGTAGTTGTGCCCGTGAAGACAGTGGAACTCGCGCCTTCGAGTGCAAACGCAAGCAGTGTCTGACTCGGTGCGGATGCTTACCGAAGTGGAGGAAAAGAGAGGAATATGCGCAGTGCTCAGTTTGTGCTGGGGTTTTGTTGTTGCTGCTGTTTTGGGGGTTTTGTTTTGGGGTTTGGTTTTGGTTTTTTTGGTTTGGTTTTTTTTTTTTTTTTTTTTTTTTTACACAAGTAGAAGTCTTCCTGCATTGTGGATTTTTCCCCTTGAACTGAGCTCTGTGGCACTGTAAACACATCCTAAGGAACCGGCTTTATACTGCCGCAGGTCGCTTACCACTCTGAATGCGTAGAAGAAAGTCTCTGCCTTGTACCTCTCTGGCAGAGACGGTACTAAAGCTCCCTTTCTGAGGCTTCCTATGTTAGCTAAAGTCCCTGAAGGAAAGTATGGGTCCTGGTTTATTTAGGAGCGGTTCGTATGTGACTTGTGTCAAATTCAGCTGGTTTAAAATTGGAGGGGATAAAAAAGGCGCAATAGACACAACAGAAACACATACCTTGGTAATAGTTTTATAACAAGCTCGCAGAGAATCAGAAATAACACAGAAAATACACCGTCAAGACTTAACACTGCCTTTTGCAAAGTCATCAAAGAGCAGGTAGCCATGTATTTTCTAATGCAAAAAGGTGAATTTCCTACCAGCTTGATGGGTTTTGAATTAGCTTTATGCACGCACCATAGAAAGAAAAACACGCTACAAGACAAAGTAATGCTTGCCAAGTGCTGGTGAATATCCCAGGTCACTTCCCCCGAAGAATTGCTGTAACAAATGCAGTCCTTTGCGGACTGTCCACTACCCTTTAAATCCTAGTTGTCCTTGCACAGGACGCCTGACTATGGCTAGGCAGCAGTAATCCAGGCCAACTCGTACAACAGAAGATGACTGCTCAGACCAAGGTGCTTCCAAAGACTGTGTCTGTAGCAATTCTACTTTATATAAAACCACAGTAACTATTTAACTTCCATTCAGTATCAGCTCAGTTTTATTATGAGAATGAAATGCTGCATGCCTGGAAACAGCTTCTCAAAACCAATATATGTACGTTTATCAATACATTATATTCAGACTATTAATTTATGAACACATTGTGCTGCCAGTGTCTGTTTAAGAACAAAGTAGTAAATACTGCATTTTATTTATGCAGCATTTGCTTGTGAGGCACTGACTCGTAACAGTTACGTGCCTCTGCCTAAACATGACCTAAACAAGTAGACTTCCCTGCTTCATTTGAAGACAGTACTTGTCCTTAAGGAAAAAACAACGCATGTTCAATGCTAACAATTTGAAGACGGTTCCTGTTCCTCCTTTTCCCACTCAGCTCGCTTAAGAGAGGAGAAACTGTGCGAACCTTTCATGTGGAGGGCTGGAGCCAAGGCAGGGCTTCCCCCTGTATCCCCCCCCAGCACAAGGGCACGAGGACTTGCAGTATCACATCCTGTGTTCTCGTTAGCATGGGATCTAATGTGAAAGAACACTGCAAGACAATTATTTTAAGATCTTTTTCTCCTATTCCACTCCGAAGAAAAGCAGCAAGCATTGCTTTTATCTAGCCTTGTACAGATGATTGTCCGCTAGCTTACCGAGTCTCCTAGCAAACAGGATGGTAGCCATCCCTGTTAACATACAAGTTGCTGTTCAGTAAAAGTTCGATAATGCAGGCTGTTAAATATTTATGAAAGTAAGTTGTATACAAAGAGGACCAAAGAACAGGAGTCTAAGTTAGAAATGTTAAGTCTGACACTCTCATGTCGGGTGTAACCGTACAGATATTGCTGAGCTATTTGGTTTTATGCTGTGATAGACAAATCCTTATTCTTTGTAATTTAAGGCATTAGAACTCATGACAGATGCTTCATTGTCAGCAGTAAAGGTAGCACTCACCCCCTGCATTCTGCAAGTGGCCAGCAAACTGCCTGAAGTGTATAAAGCTGCCTGCCAAAACAGAGGTTTAGTCGCTACTTGCAACTAGGCTGTCGGATGTTGTAATGCTTAATAGCAAAGAATGCTGTGGAGCACACTTGCTATGAAGAATTTCTCTGATGAGCATGGTAGGGAATCCGTTAAGCATCTCCTTGTTGTTAATTGCCATGCCTGTGTGAAGTGAGAATGTATAAAGGACTCCTCTTAGCTTTCCTTACCTCATTTTGTCTAGATGTGTTGCATTTTGATGAACAGATGATGTTTCTCTTTTCCTTAGAAAACTTTTAGAACGTCTTGTGATATTTATTAACAGCCAGTCAGTCTTCTGCTCTCCAAAATGAATGTTTTGCTTACTGAGCCAGTAAAATTCCCTCCTTCCTAATTGAGGTGTTTAAAAATTCAGTAGCCCTGTCACTAAAATTGAGCCACAGGTAAATACAGATCAAGGCCTTTGCCATTTGGAACAGCAGCTGCCTACTTTTGTCAGAATTTATTTTGATTTAAGTAACTGTTTTCCTCATCTTTGTCTACAGAGGCTTAAAGGGAAGCACACACCCATAGGTCTTAGGGTTTTTAATTACCAAAGACCAGAGAACTTCAGGCTCGGCACATGGTTGTTTCTACCTAACAGATCCCAGACAAATTCCACACCACCAGTAAGGTCAGTCCACACGCAATAGGAAACTTAAGTTGTACACGGAACATACTTCTGTCAGAAAGGTTTTCCCTCCTAGCTCTACTGAAGAAAGGCTATGGGCAGTTCTTTCCTGACTTTGTCAGATGAGTAAGTACCATCTGCGTGCATATTCTCATAAAGAGCCCAAAGCAGTATTTGGGTAGCCGTGTCCTTGTAAGGGCAACAGTGACACGGCAAGTGCTGTCTCCTTTGTAGCGTGGCCTTACTGACTTGCGTCAATCACGTACCACTAGCGCGGGGACGCCCTTCTAGCCAGAAAGCTGCCGTGGCACCTGGATTTGTGAAGTCTCAGCCCCTCCGTATCTGTACTGAAAGAGCTGAAAAGTTCAGACAGACTGTTTCCGAGTCGAGGAGGGAGCTCACGCACATGACAACGCGAATCGTGCTCAGTTAGGAGCCTTAAGGCTAGCCTAGGCACGCTAGCTTTGGTTAAGCTGCAGGCTGAAACATCTGAAGGCCTAAGGACGGCCAACACACTAGTGCAAAGTTAGGCTTTTCTCCGCCCTAGCTGTCACTGGCAGTCCTTGACGCCACACGTAGGTGCCTGGCGGCAGCATGGCAAATGGCGGGAGGGATTGAAATTCGGCGCTTGAAGTAGCACGTCAGTGTTTAGCTGTGGCTAATTTTAGATCCTACCTGAATGTACCAAACTTGCCTCAAAGCATGGAGTCCCTCCTCTATCTACATCAGAAACGGGAAGAAGAAGAGACAAAGAAGTATTTGGTTTTAATAAAAGGAAAGAAAACTATCTGCCTTCAATTCAGTTTATGTAAATAGACATTTGAAGTGGCAAATACCACCATTTCTTCCCTTCCAGATCTGTTTGCCTCTGCTTGTACATATCCAGCTGGCTTGGTTTGTGGGGACCAGTCTGTAATCTTGTTTCCTGTTGTGTGCTGTACGCAGAAGATGTCTTACTTTTGTCTGTAGTGTTTTATAATTTGGGTTTTGTCTTTTTGCTTACTTTTTTGTATCTCACCCTTTGAATAAAATCAAGTGCCCTACATTAAACAAACAGAATTACTGGTCTTTAGTTAAATCCATTTAAGAGCAGGTAACCCCTAGGAAAGTTAAGGGTAGTATGTACGAAGCAGAACAACACGGGGCTTAACTTGCCTCTCTCCTAAGCGGCCAGGCTTTTTTTCATGTCTGAGATTCATTATATTCCAGCTGCCCTTTCCTAACCATGATTTTGCCACTAACCAAGAAGAAAGCCCATAAAATACCTCTAAGGCAGAACAGAGTTGGTATTACCTTCTGTACCTTAATTCTCATTTAACTACCACTTTTCTATCACCCAGCGAGACAAAATGGCGGTCAGCACAGCCCATACACGACCCATGCTTAGTGAGTATTACTCCCGGTTTCTTTTTCAAGAAGGAAACCTGTCTGGGGAGCGTACTGCCAGGCTGCTTTGCAAACCCAGCAGCGGAGGGCAGTGGCGCAGATGCTGCGCTAGTACAATTAAGTGCACATCCTTGTAAGACAACAGCTGGGGGCTTAGAGATTGTTCATGTCTAAAAAATGCCTGGATAACTTGGTAAGCGAAACCCACAGTGACAAAAGACCATCTGAAATTCCACCCCTCCTCCAGTCAGAGCCATTCACGGATTCATTTCCTCAGGGCCCTTCACCTCTCCTGGGGAAGAATACCAAACACGATCGTTTATTTTCCTAGAGCAGGTGAGCAGCTTGGACTTGCTCTTCTCACAAATACCTTTCCTGTACAAGTACGTATTGAAAGGTCACGAGGCTGCTTTTTAAGGCTTATTGCCTTGAAACAACGCACATATGTCCTCAGTATCGCAATAAAAGTCGGTGCCTACACAGATGTTGGGAGCAAGGCAGGCCACTTGTGCTCGCTCAGATCTGCAAAAATAAACAGCGGTTCTAGCTTGCATTACAGT